AGAGCACAATAGAAAGACCCATATTCAGAAGGTCTGTACGCACGGGACACGATATACACGTTAAGAGCCTTCTTCCCATACAGCATCAAAAGAACCTAGTCAAAACATCGTCCAATGCAGCAAGCAATATCTCTTCTCACAGTACAATCCAATATGAAAGAATAACCCTAAAGGATATTTTACCTGCGAATGGATATCTTGAGGGATTCAGCAATAAGTATTCTAAAGATAAAGAAATAGCAGCCCGTAAAACAACCCACACAGTTCGAAATGCAGCTGTATATGTATCAGTCTCACATTTAGGGGAGCTGATATACAAGTAGCAGTTGAGCGAAGACTTGATGAGGGTACTGGAGCAACTTATAATGTCACAAAGCTTGTATTCCTTAACACCGCCAAACCAGTGCTTCAACAATCTGGGAAAGACTGATTGCTAATTCTCGACACTTCCAACTATGCATATTAAATGGAGTGTGATTATGGAAACAAATGGTTAGGTTGTACGGAAGGATGCATCTCAAACTATGGACACGGTATTGACTCTATCGAATCATTCACTGTCGTCGGAAGGCGAACAAACGGAAGGATGCTTGCACTTGCAGAGGCTTGTACAATTAGAGGGCATAAACCCGGTCCTTGTCTACAGAAGGAAATAGTGATCAATTTGAACCTACACAGGCAATACCTGTTGCCCAACAACTGGCACTATTATTAATATTTTATTCCATCTCTTATTACTGTTCTTGACTCATCTTAAACTATCTTTCGTCAGTGCCATTGTCATAACTGTTCCCATCACTATTATCATTATTTTCATTATTATTATTATTGTTTGCGATTCCTGACAATTGACTGGCAACTAAATATCTATCATAGCGATGCAACTCAGTCATAATCCATTGTAATTTAAACCACACTATACCCTCATCTACCTGAACTTGACCAGTAAAACATTAACACCTGTCATCTTGCAACAAAGCCTGAAAACTGTGTAGTCGAATGAAATGTGAAATATATGCATAAATGTGCAAAGTTAAAAATGACATACTCAGCAGCACAACTTCCTGTAGGAATGCATTTGTGTAGCCAGTTTGTCTCAACTCAGACGAATAAACAGTCAAGTGCACAATAACTGACACTGTAGAACAATCCTGCTTACCTCATTATCGCTATCACTAGCATGAACAACAATACTATCCTTAATTTCAATTTGTGCAGATCGACGAGTTAAACGACCCCCTTTAGGAATCAATACATCCTCTTGCCTTGCATATTCTCTTTCCTTCTTTTTATCTGGTTTCAATCCCTTCATTACTAGGCGTTTATCATTAGATTCACGCAGAGACCGACTTGACCCAGCACAGACAACATTATTGTCATTATTCTCTTGTGTTTCGCCTTCCCCATCATTTGCATGTTCAATAGCTTTCGCCGACACAGGTGATTCTCCATCGATGGATAAACCACAATACGAAATAATTTCTGACCAAACGGTATTAGTTAAGTCAACCAGCTGCACAAGCAGAGATTCATCAATTTCAAATGGGAAGCTCCCATGCAAACGACCACCATAATTGGTCAACAGCTCTTCAAAAAAATCCATATCCTCTCGAGCCTGCACCTCTCCAATATACGGTAAGTTAGTCAACTCTGTTTCATCTTCTACAGAGAAATTTTGCTGTACTTTTGACCACATAGTAAAGCTCGGTAGTGGATCTACATAAGGGATCATTACAACACCTGTATGACGAATTTCACCGTTGATTTCTATACCGTATGAACTACGACGATCAAAGACATGTGGAATTCGTATCGGTTCGACATTTGGTCGATGTAGTGAGTAGTAGCCAGGCTGGTATAATTCCGAACATTCAAGTGTGCAAAAGATCGTTGGCCTGAAGCGTGATTAACTGCAAACTGATGTATCACCAATCAATGAAAATGTGTTATTATTTAGACATCATGTGAATATGAGTGTTTCAGCAAGCATTTAGTTCCTAACTCATATTCGAAGAGATGAAATAAATTTTAGCATCTGATGCTGGTAGTGTTGCAGAGAGGCTTAAGTTGTGTGATAAGAGGTACATGAGTGTAACCAAGAGGGATGAACTCCGGACTGAGTGTCCCGTGATATTTTAGGAACCGACTTATCTATCAAAGCAGTTACTCAAATTACCGAGTGACAGCTTGCATTGTTGTAGAAGATCAATTGGGTTTTTATAGCTTTATTCGAGAGAGGTCGGCAGAGAGCCAGTGAAGCGGGAAATATAGTCATAAACAAAGGAGCGCATTCATCATTCAGTAGGTGGAGGAAGGCTCACAAATCATATAGAAGATGTAGTTCCTACCTGGTTACACGTCCCATCGTTCTGAGTTTCTAAGATACTTACTGCATCTGAGTGGCTGCAGCATACTGTGTTATGCAGGACATAATTAGGGTATTTGGACGTGGAATATCGCTGACGAATTTCCATTTTCAGCTGCTAAGAACAAATGGGCAGTATTCTAACAGATGTCTTTTGTATGGTATGAGTTCGGCCTCATGGCTGTAATAGTTTCTGCGCATGCATTCTAAGAGAGCATCGTCAAAGTGTGAGACTGCGATGCAGCTTGCTCGAGAAGTGTTAGGCCGCCAGAGCCCCCAAGTCCTAGGTCAACAATACTTTTGAGTCTACGTAGGTCAGTAGTTTGAAGCGCTAATTTAATGCAGGTCGAGTTTGCAGCGGAACAGATTCAACCACATCTGCTCAAGCTGAGTTGTAACTTACATAAGGGGACCATACAGTCACTTTATCTACTTCTCTCTGGACTGCATTCTGGACATATTCCAGATCATCACAGTGGAATTTATAAGCTACTTTAAGATCGTCCACAAACATGTATGGTTTTTCCATGTATCATCGCTCAACATTTTCATATCATTTCATAGTGCACTAGATACCTTAATTTGAATCTTATCGCCTTATTTTCCCCAACATGAGCTAGTTTTCTAAATCGTGGCAAATTATGGTCATTTGAACGCACAGATTGTTGCAACATTCAAACATGGATAAGTATGTTGGATTCATGTAACCATAGTTGATTACAGCCTCGACGTAACACCAACAAGTTGGATGATTCCAAGGAAACACGCAGCACAGTCTGCCAAATAGTTTGTGACTTCTAAACTAAGACCAATCACTTCTGGGGTAGCTCAAGTTAGCCCCATAGCCGCCTCTCTCTTTATGGTATCTGTCAGCGACACAAGTGTTTGTTTCTTACATGGAAAAACCATACATGTTTGTGGAAGATCTTAAAGTAGCTTATAAATTCCACTGTGATGATCTGGAATATGTCCAGAATGCAGTCCAGAGAGAAGTAGATAAAGTGACTGTATGGTCCCCTTATGTACGTTACAACTCAGCTTGAGCAGATGTGGTTGAATCTGTTCCGCTGCAAACTCGACCTGCATTAAATTAGCGCTTCAAACTACTGACCTACGTAGACTCAAAAGTATTGTTGACCTAGGACTTGGGGGCTCTGGCGGCCTAACACTTCTCGAGCAAGCTGCATCGCAGTCTCACACTTTGACGATGCTCTCTTAGAATGCATGCGCAGAAACTATTACAGCCATGAGGCCGAACTCATACCATACAAAAGACATCTGTTAGAATACTGCCCATTTGTTCTTAGCAGCTGAAAATGGAAATTCGTCAGCGATATTCCACGTCCAAATACCTTAATTATGTCCTGCATAACACAGTATGCTGCAGCCACTCAGATGCAGTAAGTATCTTAGAAACTCAGAACGATGGGACGTGTAACCAGGTAGGAACTACATCTTCTATATGATTTGTGAGCCTTCCTCCACCTACTGAATGATGAATGCGCTCCTTTGTTTATGACTATATTTCCCGCTTCACTGGCTCTCTGCCGACCTCTCTCGAATAAAGCTATAAAAACCCAATTGATCTTCTACAACAATGCAAGCTGTCACTCGGTAATTTGAGTAACTGCTTTGATAGATAAGTCGGTTCCTAAAATATCACGGGACACTCAGTCCGGAGTTCATCCCTCTTGGTTACACTCATGTACCTCTTATCACACAACTTAAGCCTCTCTGCAACACTACCAGCATCAGATGCTAAAATTTATTTCATCTCTTCGAATATGAGTTAGGAACTAAATGCTTGCTGAAACACTCATATTCACATGATGTCTAAATAATAACACATTTTCATTGATTGGTGATACATCAGTTTGCAGTTAATCACGCTTCAGGCCAACGATCTTTTGCACACTTGAATGTTCGGAATTATACCAGCCTGGCTACTACTCACTACATCGACCAAATGTCGAACCGATACGAATTCCACATGTCTTTGATCGTCGTAGTTCATACGGTATAGAAATCAACGGTGAAATTCGTCATACAGGTGTTGTAATGATCCCTTATGTAGATCCACTACCGAGCTTTACTATGTGGTCAAAAGTACAGCAAAATTTCTCTGTAGAAGATGAAACAGAGTTGACTAACTTACCGTATATTGGAGAGGTGCAGGCTCGAGAGGATATGGATTTTTTTGAAGAGCTGTTGACCAATTATGGTGGTCGTTTGCATGGGAGCTTCCCATTTGAAATTGATGAATCTCTGCTTGTGCAGCTGGTTGACTTAACTAATACCGTTTGGTCAGAAATTATTTCGTATTGTGGTTTATCCATCGATGGAGAATCACCTGTGTCGGCGAAAGCTATTGAACATGCAAATGATGGGGAAGGCGAAACACAAGAGAATAATGACAATAATGTTGTCTGTGCTGGGTCAAGTCGGTCTCTGCGTGAATCTAATGATAAACGCCTAGTAATGAAGGGATTGAAACCAGATAAAAAGAAGGAAAGAGAATATGCAAGGCAAGAGGATGTATTGATTCCTAAAGGGGGTCGTTTAACTCGTCGATCTGCACAAATTGAAATTAAGGATAGTATTGTTGTTCATGCTAGTGATAGCGATAATGAGGTAAGCAGGATTGTTCTACAGTGTCAGTTATTGTGCACTTGACTGTTTATTCGTCTGAGTTGAGACAAACTGGCTACACAAATGCATTCCTACAGGAAGTTGTGCTGCTGAGTATGTCATTTTTAACTTTGCACATTTATGCATATATTTCACATTTCATTCGACTACACAGTTTTCAGGCTTTGTTGCAAGATGACAGGTGTTAATGTTTTACTGGTCAAGTTCAGGTAGATGAGGGTATAGTGTGGTTTAAATTACAATGGATTATGACTGAGTTGCATCGCTATGATAGATATTTAGTTGCCAGTCAATTGTCAGGAATCGCAAACAATAATAATAATAATGAAAATAATGATAATAGTGATGGGAACAGTTATGACAATGGCACTGACGAAAGATAGTTTAAGATGAGTCAAGAACAGTAATAAGAGATGGAATAAAATATTAATAATAGTGCCAGTTGTTGGGCAACAGGTATTGCCTGTGTAGGTTCAAATTGATCACTATTTCCTTCTGTAGACAAGGACCGGGTTTATGCCCTCTAATTGTACAAGCCTCTGCAAGTGCAAGCATCCTTCCGTTTGTTCGCCTTCCGACGACAGTGAATGATTCGATAGAGTCAATACCGTGTCCATAGTTTGAGATGCATCCTTCCGTACAACCTAACCATTTGTTTCCATAATCACACTCCATTTAATATGCATAGTTGGAAGTGTCGAGAATTAGCAATCAGTCTTTCCCAGATTGTTGAAGCACTGGTTTGGCGGTGTTAAGGAATACAAGCTTTGTGACATTATAAGTTGCTCCAGTACCCTCATCAAGTCTTCGCTCAACTGCTACTTGTATATCAGCTCCCCTAAATGTGAGACTGATACATATACAGCTGCATTTCGAACTGTGTGGGTTGTTTTACGGGCTGCTATTTCTTTATCTTTAGAATACTTATTGCTGAATCCCTCAAGATATCCATTCGCAGGTAAAATATCCTTTAGGGTTATTCTTTCATATTGGATTGTACTGTGAGAAGAGATATTGCTTGCTGCATTGGACGATGTTTTGACTAGGTTCTTTTGATGCTGTATGGGAAGAAGGCTCTTAACGTGTATATCGTGTCCCGTGCGTACAGACCTTCTGAGTATGGGTCTTTCTATTATGCTCTCAGTCGTTTTCACCAGAGAAACACCTAAGAATGTAATGGCATCATCTCCCTCATGTTCTATTACGGAGTTAAGATCAGGATGACATGAGTTGGATTTCATCAATAAATTTCTTTTCCACCTCTGATTTACCTTCACAGGCAACAAAAGTAATCTACAAATGTTAGATGTAATTGCGTCTGTTGTATGGTATGTGCATTCAGTGATCATTAATAGTACCATGTTCTGTAATTGCTTTATTCTAGGTGACTGTGAGTGGTGAAGAGGAGAATAAAAGTGAAGGGAATATGATAACAGTGAAAGAAGTGTTCCAAATTGGTGAATCGACTGCAGCAGACTTGAGTCTCAATCCACCCGAAGCGAAGCGTTTTAAAGATTGTGGAATCCCTTATGAAGTGTTTATTGTGAGTTGTCTGTTGATATCCTTTGTGATTGTCTTTAAAAGATTTTCCTAATAATTTTGATCCATTTGGTGTTAGGTGGTAGACCCGGACATCTAGGCTCCATGCTTGTTGGCACTCGTTGTCAATGCTGAAGAGACTACTGTCCGTTCGGAGATTCAAACTTGTGTCAACAAGTGCTGGAGTGACGAACGTTACCACTGAGCCATTCACGACGATTGACGTGTAGATCTGCAATGGATACATTGTCATGCGTGTAGGAAGTTATTTTTGTTGCTGCTGACTGAATTCTGTCAGTCAAGTGATCATCAAATTTGGTGAGGTGACTTGCCATCGCAGTGTACTTTGAATATTGGTGCTGGTTTGATCACGACTGCGGTTTGTTACCGAAAGCTATTGTTTCATCTTCCCTTTCTGAACGTTAGTTCTTTTCCATTGTAAACCGCTCAGTGTTTTTCACAAGCAATTGACATAATTGAGTCGAGTAGGGGCGCAATCGTGTCATTGAATCACCAACATTCTCTGTGATGAACTGGATGTGACCACTCGTAAGTTGGGAGGACACTCACGTTGTACGTTTCATTACCAGTCGGCAACATCGAATAAATAGAAGCTGTGGATCATTGGTCTGGGCTCTTGACTACCAACCACTAGGTTACTGGTTCTAGTTCTGCCTATCTTCCCCTCGTGATTTGGACAGCTATGTAGTATATCACGACCCCACGCACGATAAGTTTAGCTCCATTGATAATTGCATGGGGTAAATACAAGTGGTTGTTGGGATCTGGTCTCTCTCCCACCCTCTATATATCTGTGTGTGTGTGTGTGGTTAAAATGACCGATTTCTTCAGGTTGTAATCAGAGCTACTCAGCCGTCTCGTAAAAGCCATATACTTATTGTTGTCGGTTTCAGTGACTTCCCGCCAACTTTCCTACATCGCTCTGTTTATTCTGTTATGCCTGTGCGTGTCTATATGTGTGTATTTTAGAATATGCAGGGCTGTTCTCAGTATCCAATTACTCTGTCTATCGATTCCCACGTCTTTGCCTGGTTACTAATATTTCCTTGGGTTTCCGAGTAGAGCATTGGGCTTCACCCTGTTCTCTGACTTGACATTGTTGTTGAAAATTCGTATGTTGTTCCTTGTGATGGGTGTTGTGGAGGTGCATATTGTTTTCTAAGTAATGAACACCCGTCTTGCTTTTGCGATCCTGGCAGACTTAGTCATCCTTAACCATGGCAACTGTAGTTGGAACGATGCTGCACATATAAGTAAGTGAAGGAGACGACTTTCTCCATATTTCTGCTATCTGTAGTGAATGATGCTTGTTGTTGTCATTGTTGTTGTTTGTTGTGTATCTTTATCACCTCTTTCCTCTCTATGTTCACCTGAAGTCATGTCTTCGCTACCTTTTTCTGCCAACTGGTTTTCAACTGGCTGGTTTTCACATGTAGATGTTTGAGTTTGTGTTTGACATTGAACATGAATCATGCTGAAAGTTCCCGTCTTTCTTGCTTGATATGTCTGTTTTATTATTATCAGTATGGGATGACATATATGCATCCACTTCCGTCCATCGGATGAACACATCACTAATATTACAGTTGTTTTGAGTGCAGACAGTGTTTCATGGGTGGTTTTAAAAGTGTTTAACGGAGTTTTATACTACACAGCTGTGATATCTATTGTGATGCTTTGTTATACACACATACCCTAAGCTTAATCTGCTTCGATTACTTTTATCCTCACCAATTGTTTAACAAGACCTTAAGATTAAAAGGTAGTACTACAGTCGTTGCAGTCTCAATGCTGTTGTATTTCTATAATGTTGAGTCACTTTTGTTTTTGTTTCTTCATAGGCGATAGCTGGAACATTCGGTTCTACAGATAATGCAAATAAACTTCAACAGAGGTATGTAGAAATGAAGGGACGTGCAAATAATTCTCAGGTATGTTTGATTAAACGACGGCCAATACCGCTTCGCACATGTTGATGTGTATGTGTGTGTGTGTATTTGTGAATACTTGTGAAATAGCATGACTATATTTTTTGTGAGTAGAGATATTGAATGCAAAGTCCTAGTCAGAGTTGGCGCTGAAAATGTCATCCAGTCTGATATTGGGGCGTCCACTGGGGATAGTGTCGAAGTTGTGTAACCGGAAAGCTGGAGGAGTGATTGGTGATTGGTGCAAGCACTGGACAGACTGTAAGTCAGTGGGTTTCTAGCTCAAGTTCCACCTTGTGTACATCAACCTGGTTAGCAGTACCGTTGACTTTCAGGCAGACAATACGCGCGGTACATGGGAGATTTGTTACGGATAATCATTTCAAAGACTGTAGTTGAGGTGGATTATTCTTTTGTTTTGATTTGGTTGTGTTCTCGAAGCTGATTGGTTTTTGCTATTACGAGGTTTTCGTTATCCTTCTAGACCAAATCTTCAGCACAAGATTTGATGTGGAGTGAATTTATATAAATTCTCCATGAAGAAGGGAGTGTGTCAGTGGTTGGTGTGGAATGCTGCCAGTAGTGCACGTGGTCTGGGCTTTGATGCCCGGTAGATGCAGTCTTGAAAAATTCCAATACGCCAGTAGTAAGCCCGGTGAAGAGGAAAGGTTAGGCGTGAGGCCAGCAACCTGACAGTGTAAATTAGGAGTAGTGCTACTGCTACTGAAACTCCTAAGCTCAAAGCTCAAAGCCCTATGGTCGACTTGGAATGCGAAGGAATAAAATAATTTAGAAAAATGGAGATCGGAAGCTTCGCAAATAAATCAACCAGTCCAGAGAAGACAGTGAGATCGAAATGAACATTGGGGACGCGTTGTGATGGAACATGCTACTGATTAATTGATATGAGTAACTGGAAAACAATTCATACAATCCAGTAGTAGTGTGTGTTACCTAGCCAGATCCAAGTTATCACACCTGAGGTTCTCAGTGGTAACACGTCATTGAAGGCGACTGCTGGTAGGTACATCCGGCCGACGAGTCCCAAACAGGGCAAGACACGCCTCCCGGATTCCACTGGTAGTTACGATGCACTAAATAACTTTATTCAGTAGTAATGACAAGACCCCGAGTGGCGACATCAAAATCGTAATGGGTGATATAATATATATATGTGTGTATCCATGCAAGCCAAACTAGGAGAAGACAACACAGCAAGGGAACTCAGGATCTAGACGAAGTGAATGAGAACGGAGGACTGTCTGGTGACCTTGGAGCACACAATGACTCGTTGATTGGAGGCAGCGTGTACACGAACAAGCCCTCGGTGTTCACTGAAGGTCAGATGGCCAGCCGGGAGGAACACGCAACGAGGACCTTTAGCGGCACACCAACCGAAAGCAAAACATATGTAGAAGGAAGTGGAGATGGGTTGGATACACACTGAGGAGACCGTTGAGGGATATCACGTGCCAGACAAACCCTCGAGGAGAAGCCAAATGAGGAAGCGACGAGTTGGTTGTGGGTGCGAGAGTGACATGGAGAAGATCATGTGAAGCGGAGGAAATGAAAGCCTATGGGCGATTGTGGAACCAGTTAAATAGAGACTGCAGAGAACAGAATGAAATATAGTTGTGCTCCTGCTGAAGCCTTCCGGTAGGGCAACCAGTCCCTTTACTCAGAACAAAGCTATCGTGAGAATAGTTGGAAGTCAACAGGCACAAAATAAAGTGGAAACCTATTTTTCCGCATCATTGTTTGATTTATCTCTGTTCGAATATTCTGTATTTCCTTGAGCGGTGTTGGAGTACAGGGAGTGACAGGATTTCAGTGCTTTTTAATATTATTAGTGATATCAGTTGTCCATAAATTTCGCTAATAATTTGTGTACGTGTGGGCTTTTGTTCTTTCTCCTGTTGTAGTTAAATGAAGAAACATCAACATTATTTCCAAATTTAGATAACCCCTTTGAGGTGCACAGGGCTGTCACCAGTGGTCGACGCAAAGTCCTATCACGAGCTGATGCTTTACATTCATATAGGACATTATTTTGTCGTCGATGTTTTAAGTACGACTGTTCTTTGCATCCGTATAAGTCCACTCCGTCGATGTGGAGTCATCGTTGGCCGATCGATACCACGAAAGATGCCGGTTAGTTAATTCAATTTTAACAGTGTCACTTGAATTGCTGCTCTGCTTCTGCCTAGCCGAGCTGTATATGCATATTACCATTGACAATTTAAACAAATACGTATTTTCGGTAGTTTTTCATCAGGCTTTACAATAAGATAATAAAGTGTTCATCATAGATAGACATCTGAAGCCGATGTGGATTAATAGAATGAAAGTATCTATGATGATTGACAAACAGAGAGAAATATCTGCAATCTGTGCAGAAGGAATGTTTATATTTGACTTTACTGTTCAAAGGAGATGTAGCTACTGAATTGTTGGCATTGACCGATTGTTTATCGCGACACTGTTTGAAGTTCACTACTCGCTGTATAACTCGATTGCAGGTGAAGGATAAGCTACCGAGTGTGACCACTTCAATGTGCATTTCTAGGTGTAACTGTCCTTGTGGAGACAGATACATAGGTAGAACGACTCGGAGAGCCCACCGTCGCCACCTTGAGTATTGTCAGACGTGGTTAGGAAAAGGAGTTGTTAAGTTAGTCAGGAGTTCCATATTGACACATCTAGAGCATACGGAGAATAAGATTGATAAAAAGCATTCAGCCTTTAGAATTCTTTACAAGGTGTCACCTGAATTCCCTAGGTTCGTACGCCTTCGATTGCTAAGCATAGCTGAGTCAGTCTCCATAGTGAGTTTTCATCCTAATCTTTGTGTTCAGAATAAGTATGTTCAATCTCTCTCCTTCCTGTGGTTTTCACCCCCAACCTAGAATAGTTGCGGGATATCTGTAAATATAATTTTAATTTGTACTGCTAACTAACTTTGTTATCTAATTATGTTGTGCTATTGTTGCATATCTTAGTCTTAGTTTTCCAATTTATTATTACTATTATTATTGATATGTTGTCTAATCGCTATGAGACAACTGTTATTTCCCCCTGTACCCCTACAAGTACGCACATTAACGACAATTGACTGCCCAGATTATATAAGCACTTGAATCAATTTATCCTTGTTTATATTATTATTTTTATTGTTGTGATCACCTCGATTGTTAACCCCCAATTCACATGCCTAAGTTTCAATTCTATTAACCTGATTATGTTCAAATGTGTATGATTGATGTTTTATTATGTAATTGTAAAGCCTGATGAGAAATTGCTGAGAATACATATTTACTCAAATTGCGTCCTACAATTGTCATCCTTGGGCTATTTAGGTTATTTACTGTTCAGTAGATTTACTATTACTTGTGAGATCGATTCCTTAGTTTAGCTTGCTTAGTAGGGCTTTTTCAGGTACATAGACACATACACACTGTGTAAGAATACTACTTACTGGAGTGATGTCTTGGTCGTAATTTACTATTGTTCATAATCATAACACCAAATGTAGCTCTACATTTCCTCGGGTTTTGTAATTCTTGCTCTTCCTTCGCATTATTTGTAGGGGTAATAGTAGAATTTTCTAGATGTCCGGATGGACGGCTGGTGTTGATTCATTCAGACATGATGATTGATTCTTATTGCATGTATGACTCGATAAATATGGCTTCAGTTATCGATATCTATCTGACTGTCATCTTCTGCCACCCTATGCTGTGGTGGTGTGTAACTATATACAGTGCTATGGTTGAGCTCCTTTCTAGATTTCGTATCTTGCGGTAGGTGAGACAGATAAAGCATTAGTGTTGCTTGACCGCATCACACCCCTGGGTCGACTGCTTGAAGTTGGCTACACACACATATGGCTTGTTTAAAGTTGTGTCCTTAAAAAGGTTTTAAGGGTGGCTGAGGATCGAGGCCAGGTAAGTCGGTATGTACAATTTTCAGGACGACCTTTTCTAAGCCACACCCCTCCACTGAAGATAGGAGAGACAGCATACCTGGCTTCCTGGTCATCTGGAGTAAACAGTCTACTCCTGTTACATACCCGTAATCGCCAGCAGTACGACTTCGCCCACAGACCACCAGCATAGTTTAGACGACTTAGACTAAGTGATGGTAACTGCCTTTGGTATATGTGCTATCGAAACGAGGTTTCTTGTATATAGTAGGGCCTGCAGGGAAATTAGTTCCATCTGGTCTATTTATTGCTCGTAGAGTCATTGTGATGTGCGATCCTGACCAGTTGTCAGTCATGATGTCTGTGTGAAACTAAGCCTATCCTAAACGTTAACCTTAACTCCAGACATTAGAAGTGGATAAGTTGGATCTGCGAGAAACTCTTGAAGCAAACCTTACACTGTGTTGATGACTAGTGTAAGATGATTGTTGTTGTTGTTTACTCGACTTCGTTTTGGTGGCTGGTTTAGTTTATCCTCACTCGTAGTATGTTACATCCTGATTTAGCAAGTTCTATTCCCGAATTGTTGATATTCTTTCGTAAGATTTCAGAGGTTCCATGTTCTCATTTGCATAGGTGGCACTAGTAGTGTTTTGAATTCCCTCTTCTTGGTGTATTGTCAGTATAGGTATGTCACCTATTGATGGTCGTATTTTGATAATCTCCCACATGCTTCCTGTCATAGATATACTTCTGTGTTATTTAGCTTGTTTTTCCCCATGATTTGAACATTTTTGCAATAAATCTTATGGAAAACAGAGTATCAGAGTTACCTAGCTACAAATTGGATGTGAATTTTGAGGAGAATGTGAGTATATGGTATGTTTATTAAAATATTTGTCAATAGATCTGTGTGGCTCATTGATGTAGGCTATCGACTACTAACCAATGGGTCACGGTTTGGAGTCGGCACTCCACCAACTGAGAGTGGTTTGGACAGCTGGGTGTTAGTGTCATTAGCCCTGACACATTGAAACTGGTGCCTATCGCTACAGTAAGCCATAATCTAAATAACACTGATAACTAATAATTGATTGTTGTGGTGAACATGCCTCCTGGGACTTGATTCACGTTTCCGTTCATTTCTTTCTTTTTTTCTTTTCTTTCTAGAAACAAACGCCCCATATTGTGGTTCATGGTGTGTCCGTAAGTCGGTGAACCATACCGCTGGACAGGACTCAATGAATAATCATAATAGTAATAAAATAATAGCAATGATGATAATAAAGGCGAAGCAATACGAGGAACTAGCAACGTGGAATGGAATCCTGAAGAAAAATGTCTATATGAAGTATTAGCTCCATTGTTTATCCCCTACGGGCATCCATCTTTTAATTTGTACAACTGGTGTTGTAAAATGTCGAAATTACTTGGGACGAAGAAGTGTTCTGATGTAAGTTTTTCACGCTTTAGTGTTTTCTGTTAAGTGTGTGATCGCTTTTGAACGCTTGCTTTTATCTTTTGAAGTGTGCTGACGTCATAGTTGTGGTTGTTACTGACCTGTATCTACCCACTGAATCATAGGTACTTTGGCTATTGTGGTTTTGAATAGGCTGGTAATACCGGTTCCGTTGAATTGACAAATTTATTGAAATAGCTTATTTTCGAATGGAAATAGTCTGCAGAAGGATTGACGATTCTGTTCATTTCATATCAGTGTAGAGGCGATAACGAGGAACTACTCGGAATGAGAAATATTTCCTCGCTCAGTTTGTCGTCATTTCTATTGATTTTGTCACAATATTAGTAGACCGTCGAGTGACACTTGAATAATTGGGAAAGGCGAGTGGGGCGTTATCCCGAGTCGTCGGTGACATGGGGGTGGAGGGTGGAGATCCTACCAGGTGGAAATGAAAATTGTGAGCAGTTGTTGTACCAACTTGGATTGATATCTGAGAGCATAGTCCAAAGGAAGTGTTATGGTGAAAGACGGCTCCCTAAGTTTCACTAGGAACGCAACTAACGACTAACAATAATAGTAATAGTAATAATAATCACAATAACAATGTAACAGGTTTCTAGTGAATAGATCAAACTTTCAAATTTCATGGCTCTCATCGTTTAAATCTTAACTTTTCAACTGGTTAACCAAGCGGACTGTTGTCCTGAAATACACCTGTGAATGAAAGTCTCATATAAACTGACTGCAAAGTCGTAATTTTATCCTTGTGTTGCCTCTTTTTCACACACATGTTGAATTATTACCGTTATTACTGATGCTGTTATTATTGTTATTGTTGTTATTATTATTATTATTATAATACGATGACGATGATTTAGGTGTTGGCATATACAAGTACACAGAATCTATCGACACTTCTACTCCCAGATGCTGGTCAGTTGAGTTCATTACGTATACCGGGTACTGGTGAAGTATGGGGTCGACGGTCAGGTAGTATAGCGTCGTTAAATGATAATGACTGCACCGGATCAGGATCATGTAGTGGAAGTGTTCATGATGATGGAGGATTTGGTGATGAGGTGTTTGTGGCGAATGAATCAAGTAGTTCTAATGTTTTAACAACAAATCTTCGTAAACGATCGAAAAAGCGTGTTAAAAAGAGCATGAAATTGGAATTGCCAACTCCTTGTGAAGGTAGGTGGTTGAACTCTTCTCTCATTTTTGTTTGTGGGCCGACTTCGATTGTTATATGATTGTTATATATACTTTTGCAAATAAATAGATTGTAAAGTCAATGTGTCATAGAACATTTCTCTGAGTGGAGAAGACGAAAGCATTCTAGTTGATTCATCACATCACATCACATCGCATGGTATCTCGAACCCCCATCCCATCGAATCTTTACAGTTGGCTCCGTATTCGTGTATTGCATGTAGCTGAGACTATTGGCATTTGAAGTATTAAGGTTAAACTATGCATTCAGACGAAATTCGTCTGGAAATTTTTCAAACGTGAACGTGACTTGCATGAAGTGTTTAGTTCGCATGGTTCCACTATCATAGATGCCACAGGAGTTGAAGTTAAATCGAATGAATGTTGGTTACCTTGGACTGTGTATTTCCTCTGATCACCTTTCCTAGTCTTCCCACATGATGTTAGTTTCCAGAAAGAAATTTCGTTTGACTTTCTTCTACGTGAGGAAGAAGTTCGGACGATCTGGTATCGTTCCGTGCCTACTTTCTAAATCTGTTAATTCTCGTAGTCTGTCTACCCTTCTTTACTGTCCTCATTAAAACTTTCTTGGGCTACTTAAGAAAGACTTTTTTGTAATGGTGTGAGGGGCACTAGAAGCCGTCAGTAGAGCCAGTGGGGTGTCGCTAAACCAACTCGTTAATACTATTGTGGATAGCTACATGAACTGTTGCAAGAAATTAGCAAATATTAGCAGCAAATGTCTTGTCAGACTCTGAGCATCTTCTCTATACACAGTTGTGTCCTTTCATCTCATTGGGGGTAGAACTAGAAGCAACTATAGAAGACTGTGTACTCGGACGACTAAGTAGACAAACTCTCCAATACCTTATTTAGCAGACATGTTATGTGATGATAAAGGTTTAAGGTAGGCGATAATCAGAAACTTATTGTGGAATTCTAAGTGAACGGCCCTGTCTTTTTCATTGTTAAGTGGTTGTTAATATTTTCACTTAATTTGATATTCATTTTCTTATTGAACAGTGTTGTCGATGTAAATACCCTGTTTTGATTATTACTCCTGTAATGAGAAGGTTAGATGCAATACTGTACTACATACTGAAAATTTCCATATTTGTACGAAGAGTACTGTTTGGAATAAAGCTATCATTATTATTATTATTATTATCGCTATCATTATTATTATTTTTATTGTTGTTATTGTTATATAGTTCATTTACTTGCCTGGATAGCATCAGTTTCTGTTGTGTCGTTGGAATTTGTTTGCTACTGCATCTGTGTGTCAGTGGTTGAGTAGTAGAATGCTTTCCAGTGATACTCACGTGGCCTGTGTTTTGTTCCTGGTCATCGAGGCACTTGAAAGCCTCGTCTAGTTGTTTACTACTACTGGTGAAGGTAGTGAGTCCGTAAAGGAGGAGAAATGGTTAGACGTGAGACTAGAAAGTGCACGCACCTTTTAAAAACAATAACACCACTTTCTATATTTCACTTGGAAGCAAAATGGAATGAAGGTGGAAAAGTAGAAATGCTGCATGTTATCTTTTGTTTTGTTGTTTTTTCCTTTCCCGTTATATACAGACGATGATGAAGACTCGCAAACGAATGGTTCTGTTCAAAACGGTTTGAGGAACACTACCACTAGTAATAATGATGGCAATGCCACCCTACCAAGTGGTTGTCTCGCGCATCAATATCATCCGTGTGATCATCCTGGAGAACGGTGTAATGATTTGTGTTCATGTAAGAAGGCTGGAACATTTTGTGAGAAATTTTGTCAATGTCCACCTGATTGTACGAATAGGTGAGTGGTTTTTTAACTGGGTTGCTGTTGTTGTTGTTGTTGTCAATTGTAAGCTGTTATTCTATGCTCTGTTCGATGATGATGATGCTTAGAGTTGCTGTTTGAGCCGCACATGATTTGCTTTTCCTGAATCCAGCTTGTCCCGGGGGTGAGAGTTCTCTATCGATAGCAGGTTTTATTCCCTCCAGGATGACACGACTCAATATTCCTCTTGGCGTGGACAAGAGCATGATTCGGTGCCAGTTCTTGCAAAGGCCTAGGTTGCCCCTCTTAGGTTAGGTAGTTTGACGAGATAGCCTTTCTTCCAATCAGTAGGTGCCTTTCTTTGTTTCCGAACTTTGTGAACTAGTGATGTGAGCATATCCGCTGCTATCTGTGAGTGTGTTTTCTGTGGTTCCGGGTGAAATCTGTCTGGTCCCGCTGCCTTCCCAGCTAGCTTTCACTGTGTTGGTTGCATTCAAGTCTTCTGCTGTCGTTGGTGGATTGGTGTTCACTGGGAATTCTGTCCCCACTTCTGGTGATATTCCTCGACAAATTGTAGGTGGTGGTGGTCAGCTAAGGAGTCGTTTGAAGTGATCGGCCGATTGTTTCGTTTTGTTCTTCCTCTTTGGCGATTGGCCTCCCTTGACCATCTTTCCGTGACTTCATTTGTGTTGACTTCCTCCCGGATGGAGACCTGGTTATCTGAAATAATGTTCTGAGATGTGCTTTACCAGAGGCTTGTTGTGTTTCAGTTGCCAGTGTGTCCTAGAATTGTCTTGTGTGGTCTGTAGCACTCTTGTTCACTTCTTTTGTCGGTGCGATGTAGACTGAGCTCAGCCTCTGCATCCTTGTCCATCTTTGCATTGGGTCATGTTCTGCTTCACCATCCTCCTCTTCTCCATTAACTTCCAGGTGACCGTAGAAAGCCATTCGTTGTCCTGCCTGTTGTTTTTCTTCGAAATGACTTTACATGTGTCCTTAGACACCACTGTCACAGAGTTCCAACGATCTTCCACACAGGTTTCTTCAGTGGTGATGATGGTGGTGGTGCTACGTGATGTCTCGAACTCTGTTGTGGTGGCTGGAGTGGAGGTGTCAATTGTGGTTTCGCCCTTGAGTTTCTGATTGTTGAACTTGAATTGTGGTTTGTCTCTGGTTCTTTCCATGGTTCTCAACTTGACCTTGGAGCTTCCCTGCATTAGATGATAGTCTGAGCCCACATCCTCTCCCCGTTTCCGACTTCTTGTGCAGCAGGCTGCGTCTCCACTCTGTTGTAATTGAGATGGGGTCTGTCTGACTTATGGTGTGTCCATTAGGTTAGGTGAAGTCCATGTCGTTAGCTTTGTGTATGTCCTTGTGCTTGTACATGCGACCTCCAATCACGAAGTTGTCGAACACACGGAAGTTTAAGACGGGTTCTCCGTTGTCATTCATTTCACCGAGACCCTCTCCAGCGGTGATGTATTCTCGTCCTATGTTGTCTGCTTCCAGTTTCGTTTGCGTTCATATGGCCCATTAGGATTTTGTTGTCATCGTTTGGACTGTTATCCAATATTGTTTGCAGTTGTCTATCTAAATCTTCATTCTTCTTCACTGGGTCAGCATTGTTTGTAGGAGCATGGCACTGGATAATTGTAAGTTTGCTTCCTTTTGAGCTGAATCTTGCTGTCATTATTCCGGAGGTGATTGGTTCCCACTGCAGAATAGCTTTGGCTGCTGTTGGTGACATCATGATAGCCACCTTGTCAGTGTTTTTGTGCTTGTCGTGTGGGTGACCGGAGTAGATAACTGACACCCGAGTTGGTAGCCATTTGGAGAGTGGACCTCCATCCCAGCTGCTCTGACAGATTCCTAGTACTTCTGTGCCATGTCTTTTCATTTCTTTTGCATCCTGAGCTGCCTTTCTGGCTTGGAACATCGTGCGTTTATTTCACACTCCGTGCTTATTTTTTCTCTCGTGGAAAGAAGACACTTCGGCTGACTGTCTTCTTGAAGGCTTTTACAAACGGCGTCATCTTGTCTCTCCAGCTTCAGTGAGGAACAAGTTTCATAAGGTTTTCGTTGTTGTTGTTGTTGTTTGAAGTTTCTTTAGCAAGTGAAGAATTGATTTCTCGAGATAGTGTCACTAGCCTGAGAGCCGACCTTCTCTCTGTTCCCGAGCTTAGGAGCGGTTATGGAACTAGAGAGCTAGTAAACTAGGCGAGGTTGTGTACGTGTGAACCCATTTTTTAATATTGTGCAAAGCAATATCACGAATACATGGTGCGGGTTAAAACCGATGCATTGCTTATTTCGTCGGTACCTACCTCATCAACTGTATACTGAAGCTAAGTGACAGAGGAAAGAAGTGAACACTTACAGTGAATGAGAGATGATATGATGGATTAGTGTTAGAAGACGAGTTAGCAAGGTGGAGAAATGCTCGCTACAGTTTCTTTTCCAATAGACAAATAATGTTTTAAATTTCATTATTTATATTGTATTCCAGCTGACAGGATATGTACGAGATAAAGGATGGATGAGTTTTATCCTGCATGACGTGTTTGTCAGTGATTTTTCCAAACTCATTATGATGAATTTGTGCATGAGATAGAAATATTGTGTTTGGCTTTTCACTTCAGGTTTCCAGGATGTCGTTGTCGTGGTCATTGTAACACGAAACTATGTCCTTGTTTTTTGGCTGTGAGAGAATGTGATCCAGACCTGTGTCTGTCATGTGGGGCACAGGCATCTTTGGGATCATTCACTTCAGTGGAGGAATTATTCAATGTCTTAAGAGTTAGTTCGCCAGTTTTTAAAGGACCATGTCGAAACGTGGCGATACAAAGAGGCTTACGGAAGCATCTGTTGATGGCACCATCTGATGTTTCTGGGTAAGAGTGTTAGTTTTGTTTGTGTTCTCTAATTTCTTGTTGTTGTTACTATTGTTGACCAACTCTCAGTCTTCGACTGAGAAATCCCTTAGCACTACTACACTTAGTTTACCACTGTGAATATGTTGTCTGCATACCGCCGCCGTATTTTGGGGTTGGGTGTGAACGTCTCAGTCACTAAGTTTTCCAATGTATCCACAAATGTACCTGTGACTGTGGGGGATATTGGTGATCCGTTGCCAGTACGCTCAGTTAGTTTGTACACTCGCCCTTGTAGCTGAAATGATGTAGAAGTCAGATATAGGTGGACTCCTAGTATGATACCTTCTAGTGGTACTTTTGTTGCAATTTGAAGTTTTAGATCCGATATGAGTCTGTTTCTGACCGAATCTGTGACCGTATTTATCGGTATTTGCGTGTATAAACTGATGATGTGGAAACTAACCATCTTTTCATCTTGCCTACGTAATTCTAACTAATCCAGTCTGTGTTTCAGTTCATAAGAATTGGGGAGTCTAGATTTTGAGTGGTTTCCAAATAGGATTTAATGCTGTAGGTAAATATTCAGACAAATGATAAGTAGGAGAATTTCTAAAATGAACTGTGAAGTTAGTGGGATATGCTGGCCTGCGAACTATAGAAATACCATATGTTGTACTGAGGTTGTTAGTCAGCCGCCAGCCAGCCAGCTAGAATTTGAGACCCCGCTGTGTCTATCTTCGAGCAAGGTCGGTACCAGGTACACTGTTGATGTGGTCAGGCTGGCTGATGAGAGGGATAAACGTCTTTCTGGTGTGTGATTAGATGGGTCACTTTGATCTAACTGACTACCTAGCTAGCTAGCTAACTAGTTAGCTGGCCAGCAAGCACTACTCATATCAGTAGTTTATGCAGCGTCATACTCAGTGTTCTTGTTTATTGTGTTTCTTACACATACATATTTTTGATAGTTGGGGCATATTTATCAAAGATGGTGCAGATAAGAACGAATTTATCTATGAATATTGTGGTGAGATCATTAGTCAAGACGAAGCTGATCGACGTGGTAAGTTCTCAAAATTTCTCTGTGTATTATTCTTATTGTTATTACTAATCACTAATAAATCAATAAATAAGTGAATAAATAAATAAATAAGTCAGTAAATAAAAGTGGTAATTTGAAATAAGAGCAGGTTATTATGTTATTATTACTATTATTCCCCTGTCTTCGGGATGGAGCATAGAGTTTCAGTGACAGCAGATCTCCAGCTTACGTCATCCTCTTCAGTCTTTGTTTAACTGACTCCACAATTGGTCCTTAGCTTTCATTCCTTCCGCCGTGCATGATCTCCTCGACGTACCCTCGAATGCCGAGGCGTCTTTTCCCATTTGGGTCTGACTTGAGCGATGGTGTGATTGGCGCTCATTGCACGGTCTTCTGAGTGTGTATGTCCAGTCCATCCTCGTTTTCTTCTGCATATTTGTTGTCCAGTAGGTTGTTGGTTGGTTCGTTATCTTTCCTTTCTGATTGTCCATCTTATGTTTAGTGTCTGAACATAAAGAGAAGTCGATGGTGATTTATTTCTTGGTCGGGTGTGCGACCTTCTTACGGGTTTGGCAAAAAGCAACAATTAGAGACGTCGTTAACTTTAATTCGACCGCTGCTAACTCTTTTCTAATCTAATTGTATGTTAGCTAGCATTGCACGACAAGGAAGGCATTGATTCAGCATACATGGCATGTATCCTAGCCATGCGAATCCCTGCAGCTCCATAAGGTCATCGATTTATTTTCCATCCTCAGCTGACACCCGTACCTGGCGTCAGTAGTGTTACTCACCATGGTAGAATGCAAAGATTTAAGGGCAAAGATAGCTGGCTTATGACATGTCGTTCATTTGAAGAAGGCTTCATGAAGTTATGGTACCTCTAGTGTTACGCAGATGGTACTGATATAACAATGATAATAACATTTGTGATGTGTGGATTCGCGATGTAACGACGCCACAGCGATCCACGTTATTTGTTTTTTTCGAAGTGGTCAGCAACAACATTAGTAGTAGTAGTAGTAGTAATAGTAGTAGCAGCAGCAGTAGTAGGACGCTGTTGATATCCATAGTAACTTTCGCCGCAGACAGCTTTTTCTCCATTGACAAGGTCAATGTGGAAAAGTAACAAAATAACATTGGAGTAATTCAGCAGTGCATAATCGTCGTACCGATCGATGCTTTGTACTTTTAATACTGTGTTAATCTCCTTCATCTCTTAACAGGAAAGATTTATGATAAAACCATGAGCAGTTTCTTGTTCAATCTTAATCGTGATTTTGTCGTCGATGCAACGCGAAAGGGTAACAAGATCCGATTCGCCAATCATTCAGTTAATCCGAATTGTTATGGAAAGGTAAGTGTATGTGGGATACTCTTTCAGTCTTATGTTTTAGCTTTCCTCTCTTTCCTTTCCTTTTTATACAGTTTTATAGTGTATAGTTTTGCAGACGTTTTTGTCTTGGGTTCATCTCAGATGATCTATCGAAATCCTCCGTCCCACCCGAATGGCGGGTAGTGAGTGTATATTAGGTGCGTCTGTTGTTGTGTGGTGTTTCTTTGAGTCGTTGTTTGACTATGTATCTCATTCACTTGAAGAATAGATCGGGGGAAAGGAGAATCTGAGAACTTGATGGAGACGTCAGTTGCACACACACACACACAGGATGCCTAACATGGCTCTTGGTGTGTTTTCGCATCCATGATGTTTTCACTATCTGTGTATGGTGGTTCCAACCATGGGTGGTGAGCTGTTTCCTGGTGTAATTCAGTGTCTGCTTTCATACCTCATTATAAACGTTGGTAATCAAATGGAAGGGTGCGGTCGACAGTGAATACCTTTCTCTCTCTCTCTCTCCGTGAATGTGTGTGTGTGTGTGCGTGTGTGTGTAAAGAAAGCTTCGTGTACAATCTGTGCACATCTCCGTTGTGATACACTCCCCTCACTGTCGATGGGATCTTTGCCGCATATATGAAATTTACTGTCCACCACTCAATACACCAATGTTGTGTCACATTTCACTGAACAGTGGTCATTGGGTGATAGGTTTCCAGGTGACGTATTTCCATATTTTTGTGTCAGTCAGTGTTGTTTGTTGATACTCGAGAGTATTCAAATGAAAATTCTGGTATCTTCGAATGACTGGAGATTGCATCCTGCAAAAGTTATTTCATTAGAAGAAGTTGAGTCTTTCCCAGTAATAAATATTGTGTTTTCGAAAGCCTGAACAGTGAGTTGTTGATGTTTTGACAGAAGTGTCCTTCAAGATCTACTTATCCATGATATTCCAGTCATTATCCGTACTGCTTGATTCAAAAGTTTTGCTTGTTTACTCTAGAGTGAATTTCACCGTTGGGGAAGAATGAAGTGTCACTGAAATCAGCTGTGTTTCAAACAATAGCCGTCTGGAGAAAGTCAATTTTGTGAGGTGACATGTCACCGAATTTGTCATTACTTTCGATAATAATATTGGGTCTCAGAGAACGATGTTGAGTGCAATAGGCTACTCGATTGAATAGCAGCAAATACGACTGTTCTCCCGAGATCGCCTTCTGCTGTTCTGAGCCCACAAAGAAAAACCGAAGACAAGGACAACAACAACAACGACTACAGCATTATTAGACAAGAAGTCCATCGTATATGTGTAGATATACTACTGGAAAGCTAGTGTGATTTGTTGTATTAAGCTCGGACATCATATACTTGCCAATGGAATTTGGTTGAAACTGCTGCACCCTTAATAGCCAGTGGTTTTTAACCGGTTCCAGCCTGTGGAATACAGTAACTTTGAGATTAAGCTAATTGTTTTGAGTACAGGAGGGAATATACATATGTATAAAATGTGCATTCACTTCGAGTGTTTCATGTGCCTGTGTGCCGAGATTGTTTATTTCACTCTTTCTTTCAACTAGTCTTTCTCGCCAGAAATTATTCTATCGTAGAGTGAATTTATTTGATAAAAGCACACAATGATACAGTGTTATTGACATTTGAACCACAATTTATTATTACTGCTCATAGATAGAGTTCTCCTTGTGGATTTCCTGACTTGAAAGTAAAATTTGATTCCCTGTCTTCTATATGCATATGTGAAGGAACTGGTGATAGAATCAAAGTATAAGAAAGAAAGAAAGAAAGAATTGTATGAAGAAAGTTTGAAAGTTATGTGAGTGACTTGATGATATGATTATGAGGAGTGATGAATTCTGCTCGAAATGTCATATCATCATCAGTAAGTGAACAATACTGTATCAGTGTGTACTTTTATCGGATAAATTCATTCAATGATGAAATTAGACTCTGCCAGGAGAGTGAGTGAGTGTCCAGTGATTTTCATGTTATATCATAAATTGTGTTTTTTTCCTACAGGTGGTCATGGTGAACGGTGATCATCGAATCGGTATATTCGCAAAACGTGCTATTCTCCCTGGAGAAGAACTATTCTTCGACTATCGTTATGGTCCCATGGAACAGTTGAAATATGTTGGGATTGAAAGAGATACAGATGCTCCGAAAACTTCTACTTCTGCTACTGGTAGTAGTAGTAGTAGTAGTAGCAGTAGCAATCCTTCATGTCTACCGAATAAGTCCAGTGAATTTCCTGCATCGCCATCCAGTCATTCAGTGGAGAAATCAAACTGATATAATCGAATGTGGTGAGTTTGAATGTTTAATAAGGATGTGTTTTGTAACCCAGTGGCTAAATCGTCAACAAGTTGACTTTGTAATTATTTCAATACTCTCAGGGTGGGACATGACTGACTCTCCAGCTTTTGTGAGCACTAGACTTTGACGATGATGATGATGATGATGATGATTAGTCATAATAGATTATTCATATAAGGTTGGGGAACGAAAATGGACAATTCAGTTAGTTGATGGTTGTGAAAGGTATTTGGTGAGTGGCTAGTACGAAGGATAGTATACATTGAAGAGGAGAAGATAGTGAGACTGTGGTGGAATAGTCATGAAATCATGGAGTAATCAATATGGGAAATGAATGAGATGGAATAATATATATATATATATATGTATTGTGAAAAGAAATAATATCGCTAATAACAGATCATAATAGTGTATAAATAGTAGGATAGTCGAATGAAGGGTGTAAAACATTGTGACTAGGACTTTTTGGAGGTAGAGAAACCCTTGGTGTGGTGAAGACGTTCCAGTGGAAGTTTGATCAGGGCAGAAATAACGTGTTAACTTGTTTTTATTTGATGCAAAGTTGTGGTTAAGTCAACAATTTCAGCTATACGTGGGTGAAATATGTTGTTGGGATGGCGATTAGAGTAAAAGCAGTTACCGGCTTAATGTAAGAAGTTTTATCCTACACTATGCTGGAGGGTCTGTGACTCCAGAGTTATAGAGGTACGGTGAAGACAGTTTACTGTCTGCATCAACCAGGGTACTAGGCAGCGTTTGGGAATCAGAGGAAGTCCCGTTGGGCCGGTGTAAGTCATTGATTACTCCGATATTCAAGAAGGGAGACAAGTCTTCCTGTGATACTCACGGGGAGATTAGCTTGACTAATATGATATCTAAAGTTCCAGACTCAATAATCATGTTTAGACCAAGCGGTCCATGGGAGGAACAAATACGAGAGAACCAGGCAGCCTTTAGACCAGGAAGAGGGTGTATTGATCGTGTCGTGACTCAGGGATTGACTTGTTACCATCAGGGAATAATCTCATAGATTTAGAATATGCAGATGATGTAGTCCTTCCAGGTGAAGACGCTGACAAAATGCAGAGTCTTCTGAACGCCTTGAGCTGCAATCTGCGAATGTTTGGCATGCGACTCGCTCGTGCTGTCAAATGTAAGATGATACTACAGGACTGGACTGGACTATACTGATTCCTAGCTTAGAAATAGGGAGTGAAGTTGTTTGTGAAGCGTGTTGACCACTTCACTTATTTGGAAAGTTGTATCAGCCAGCGCCAACGGGTTGCTTGCTGACGAAATCTCAGCACGGATACAGAGGGCTGGTTTCGCATATTCCAGTTTACGCCGTCTCTGGTGTAGACGTCATATCCGGCTGGCTATCGACCAAAGTGCGTGTGTACTGCTCAACAGTCCGCTCCGTTCTCGTCTTGTAGTTAGTACAAATGCTTCTACTATGCGTGAGAGTTACCATGGTGTTATTTGGTGTAAGGATGGCGACTGGCAGTGTGGGTTCCAAGATATGAGCATTCTGTTTCGTGTCCATAGTGGATAACATATTGAAGCTTGAAACTATAAGTGTGTCTCAGTGGGAACACCGTCAATTACTCGCTGACGAATCCTGGGTTCTTTTACTGCTTGTCACCATCCAGCATATACATATATATATATATATATATACATTAATCAGATGGTTGAGTTGTGTCATCTTTCTTCCTTATTACAGTTTTCCATTTTACTAGTGAGTGCTTCAGTTTTACTGTTGTCTAGTTAAATAGTTTTAATTTGTCTTAACTAACCGCACCATCACATGGGAAATACCAGCGAGCCTCAGTGGGTTATTTCTATTACATCTGTTGAATATATTTCTGTGTATTATCGAAATTTACTATTATCATTTATCATTGTATTATTATTGTTGTTTGCATTTTCTATAGTTTTATAGTTACAGTGAGGTTTCTCCTCTCTTGTTCCACTTTCCAGGGTTGATTCCATGTTTAGTTTTTCGTGTGTACTTATTAACTGTGTGTGGTATTATGAGCTGCGTGAGCTGCTGTTACTGTTCAATAGATTCGGTCGTTGTTTCAACATGTTTAGAACTTTTTCTGCTTTATTTGTTTATCTATAAATAATATTATTATTCATTTTCTTTTTGTACATGTTAACATGGTGATTAAATTAATGTTATGCCTTATCGTAAATTTGTATTGTTATCATTTAATGCTGTGTATTTTAAAGACGAAAGTGATTTGAGTTAAAGAACTTTTGGAGGACTAGGGAGCACTGAACACTGAACAGTTGTTACTTCGTGTCCTGGTTTTGGACTGTTCAACAATGCGGATCTATTATGTTGTGTTATTAAGGATCGAAGAACGTAGGACCTTGTGTTTACGAGGCGAACCTTGTTGAGCGTTGTTGGGATGAAGTTGAATGGCTTGTGAATTGTAAGTCCTGCCAATTGGCGACGTATATATGGTCGCCGCCGGCCAATGTCGTCGTTGATTATCTGACGCCACACTCGACGACTTCGTAGACCCCTACAGAACCCCAGAGAGTTTCATCCTCTACTCAGTGGGTGGTAGTGGGCATTCGATTAATTTCCAAGTGTTGGGACTTCAACGGTTTCAAATCTGGTCACCTAATGACGCTAGTTTGAGGAACCAAAAGCTGTACAATCGTATTTGTATCTGCGAAAAGACAGCAGTCAATTAATTGAGTAATGGGGTGAGTGAGTGGCTGGACGTAACTGGTACAATCACTCGGGAGAGTGGTTTCCAAAGATAAGACATTGTGTGATAATCAACGACACAATGGAAGTATGGGTTATTAGATTTCACAAGGTGGGAATTGTTATTCGAAGAGAAGCAAGGTAGTTGACTGAAATCCACTTCACGATTGTGAAGAAGGTGGGAAAAGTTAGTAAAATGTACAAAAGGGACATGTGATGGTGATCATCGTTTAAGCGTACTTTAAAATATGCGCTCTTCTGTTTGCTGTGTTTTGTGATCTTGACAGCTGTTTTGACATCAATCTTGTGATTCCTCATATCAGCAATACGCTTTTGTGTAGACGAGTCTGGTAGTAGTCCACCGTCTGTGAAGGTTCTGAGGCCGAATTGTTTTTGATGCCATATGGGTATCATTTCACTCGCCTTCACATATAAACCACTATTACTCCTGCATAAATGTGTGTGTGTGTGTGTTTGTCTACATGCAGATGTAGATCGTTATACAATACGTGGTGTGACTTAGTCGCTTGTGGAATGATGAGTATTGTCAGTGAAAATAGGATTGATGAAATGTCTGAGTAATAGAGCACAAAAACTAAGTAGTACCAAGGGAAATCTAAGACAGGAAGTGAGGCATATAAGAGAAGCTTTGAAGCTTAACTAATAATTACCCTGATAAATTAGTCAGAAAGTATCTAGGAAAATGTAAAAATAAAATAAATGATGGTAGCAGTGATAGTGATAATAATAATAATAATAATAATGACATGCATGTCAAACATTCACGAGATAATGACAACACCAAATATAAGGAATCTAAATCATCAGTAGTAATTCCATACAAGGAAGGAACCTCGGAAACCTTACTCAGAATTCTTAACAAGGCAGGAATAAAAGTGGCTGGCATTCAAACCCACAAACTCAATTAGAAACATACTTTGTCAGTTAAAGGATCCCGTGGAGCCTTTAAAACAAAACAATTTAGTTTATCTAATACCCTGCTGGAATGATTGTCAGGTCGAATACCTAGGTCAAAGTAGTAGAACAGGTGCAGTTAGACTAGTCGAGCATAAAAATCTAGATTAGTTGACCCGAATAAGATGGGAAATTTAGAGAATAGTTGAGCTATACCAGTCACTACATGCAATCACACACAACCATACTATAGGATGGGTGGAGTAAGATGGCAGTTTTTAAACCTAATGTAGCAGCGTGGAGGGTGAGATTGATAACGGGAGCTTTGTTTATCAAATCAACTGAGAGAGAACACGTGTAGTAGGAAGAAGTTAGACAAACTTGTCAAGATCATTCGACACTCATCGCTTCATGTTGCTTTCAGTAAGAGTAGAAAGAGGAAAGTTGCAGTAAGTTTGTCATTGGCTGCGATTATTGGCCATATCTGATGAGGTTTCGAGTCGGCGATTTGAACTACCCCTCGGATCGCCAACCAGGGAGTCGTGACGTACCAACTGTTGCTAACCTAATACAAGTGTGCTTCATCTAACGGCGCCACATCATGGGCTGATGACCTCTTTGCTTTTCCCATTGGGTCGTGGGACTAGTGAATAGATACTGGTGCAGTAGCCTCTGGGATGATGATATAGGTAGCACATGCTGGTATTTCCTGATGACTACAGTCCCTGAATGGCGGTGCAAGAACATACTGTCGGATTGCAAAACTACTTACAAGACGATGCCATAGGACTCAACCAATTCTAAGCGAGTGATAGCTAAGACTACATTCCAGGATGTATGTGTCGCTTCCTAGATCAGTGCAAGCATTCGAATCCGTGATTTAGCAGATTCAGCGGTCTGAACTTCGACATTCTTATAGTTCGGCAACCATTCCAGGTATTTGCGATCTGTTGTGAGTAGCAAATGTCTACTTAAGAGATGATGTCAGTGCACGCGGATGAAAGAAGCAGCAGCTAATGCTTTCTTCCTGGGAATGTAGTAGATCTGGAAGGGTAGAATTCGGCATCTCTATATAGCCAAATTATGTACACCTTATCTTCAACGCACCATTTGCACAGAACTTCGTGTTGTGCTACTTCTGGCCTTCACATTGTATTAATTTGTGTTCCTTTCACGTCTCCCATGTATCTCCACGACACTGTATCATTTGCTCTCTCTGACATCAAATGTATCTCCGTGCTATTTGATGTTTTTATGCTGATGAATGTCTCTTTATAAACTAGTGATAAATCTTATCAGTAGTGCACGCCACATTTCGGCTCTATTCAGGTTAATATAGAGATACCTTATTCGACAGCATCCTTTTCCATCGTGTCTGACTTGGGGCGAAACCGTGCCAATGATTGGATGTCTTGCATCGATGCCTGAAATGTACTTACTATGAGTTGAAAATTTGTGAAGATAGGCTCAGCGCAACCTTTGGTCATATCAAAGTACAGCGATAGTCCTCCGTGCACATGAAACA